AAAATTTAACTAGAAATAACCAACCTGTACAGAACGATGTTGGAACATTTCACAGCTCTCAGCCTAGTTCTCCTATAACACAAACAGGCAAGAACCCTCATGAGCCTCATCCACATGATCTTGAAGCAAAGCAAAACAAATCATCTCAGTCTCCATTGCTGTTGAAGTTGAATACGTTTATAAACTCAAAGAAAAGCTACAGCACTACGTTGCAACCCTGGAACCAGACTGTAGAGCATGGCACAACATAGGTCGAGGACGCCGATTTCATGCACCAAAGACGCCGAGCAGGATGCCACTGGACACCACTGGACGCCGGTCGCCAATTATGCTTCTCCATAAATCACGATTTACGATCGATATGGCCGATGCGCCGTATTGATCTCAAGCTGAAGATGGGCGCGGTGACAGCGGGGCTGATCATGCAATCTATAGTTTATGGTCGGTCATGGCTGCCTGAGCCATAGTTTATGATCGGCCATGGACGCCAATTTAAGGTCGATGTGGCTGATGGAGAGCTTGAAAAGACGCCGATATCTCGAGCTAAAAGGCCCTACTGGAATGTACAATCAGATAATTTACCTGTTTCAACGTCAAAATATTACCCCATCAAAGGCCTATTGTCTAAAGTGGGAGAACTTCTAAATAATAGCTATAACAGAAGAATTGAATTCCCGCATTACTTTCTATCGGAAGGAAACACTTCTAAAGCTGGAGGAATTTCCCAAAATCTGGATCAAACTAATCCACAAGAATTTCAATTACAACTTGATTCCAAGCATCAACATCCATCTGCCGTGAGACGTGTAATACCAGCTTCAAATGTTCCTTCGTTACAAATAAACGGCAACGTTCCTGTGAAACAAAGCGAAGGTACTTTATCGAAGGTTGAAGATCCGCTAAGCCCGCTCCAGTTAAGGCCCGTAATCACCCGTAATTTTGACAGCCTTCTAACGAACACCGACAAAAACTCTTTTGAACATAAGACGTTGGATCTTTCTACGTCGGAAGTGACAGCTATACAAGATCTTGAAGTTCAAATACCTTCCTTGGCAAGGGACTTGGGGGCACTCAAGCAGAAACAGAGAGTGTTTGAGAAAATATCACACAAAACTCAGCCGATAGCTGCGCTCTTCTCTCACAAACTGCAGCGTAACCGGCAATCTGTGTCGGAAATCTTCACGAAAGTCGCTCGATCCGCGGTAGCGCAAATTACTGCCATAGCTAATGCATCAATGAATGGAAAAAGGTTGAACCAAGAATAAAATATGTACCTTGATCCTTGAGTAGTCTTAGGACTTACGGAACATGCCCTTAGTGGTTACAAAAAAAAAACAGTGGTTACAAATGTTACAAACAGTACAAATGTGGATGTTGTCTAAGTGCTGAGTGAAGAACAATAATTATTGGTGTTTTCTAATTGTAATTTGTTTTCTTGATTTTATATTCTTCTATGGGTTTCTTTTCTTCAAGAACACCAATAATAATTGGTTTTCTTGAAGCCCAAAGTCGCGCAGTGATCTGCATCCAGCCTACAGGAGGATGAGGCTGGAATGCTTACAATGCGTAGCTGAATTTTAAAGTACGACTTGGATTCGTTGGGCTGTCGAAGTGAGCTTGAGTAATTAGGTAACAGTATTTATGACTCGCTAGAATCAGTGATATGGTACTTCTTGGGGAGAGGTAACTGCCTGCAAATTCAAACAGAAGCAAGGAAATCGACAAATTTTTTTCATAATTGATTTTAAGACTTCGGGTATGAAGAAATCACGCCTCCGAATCTAAGCAGAACTCGATTTTTATCTGGGCCTTTTTCCTATTGCCACTCGTCGTTTCACAGTTTAATTTCTAGCGCACACTCTCACCAGCCAGTGTTTGTTGTATGAAATCGACTGATGAGGAGGCATGTCAGTCTTAGGAGACAGTCGGAATTACAGGATCCCAACGTTTATTCTGTGTCATGTTCATATGTTTATTCCTCATACGTTCAAGTGTCATGCTCTGTACATCTCGCGACCAGAAGCTATGCAACGTCCCCGCAATGCTTCGAAGCAATATTAACCTAATAATTATTACTTAATATTATTAATAATTAATAATAATTAATTATTAATATTATTATTACCTAAGAAGCCCCTGCATAATTTAATAATGAAGCCAAGGCCGAGTGGTTAAGATCACTCCATTTAGAGTAGCAAGGAATTTCAAAGCCTGAAATTAGTTGTGAAAATTCTGGTCGAAATCGACAAGGTCGTTGGGTGGTTGAGAATCTGCGATAGGCTTAAATAGCGTATTCAACGCTACCACGCTCTTTCTACCATAGTAGTTCATACAATAATTTTGATCTTTAGGATCAAATATCATAATTATAATAATTACAATGCGGTATTATCATTATTATTATTATTATTATATTATTATTATCATTATTGATATATTAATAATGATATTATTACATCATTATTATATTATTATTATTATCAATATTTATAACGTTTCCAGACGTTGCAAACTCATTGTAAAGCCTTTGGGATGCAGTGATGGAGGATTAGACCAATATTGGTAAATATATTGTCCGACGGAAAATGAAAAACGGAATAATGTAAATGTATTTGTTATTTGCTCTCCCTAAACTACGCAAAATTAATCAATATAATCCCTTTAAGCGCCGTTCTAATATGCATGATAATCGAATCCGCTCGAGCTCTACACAGATTTTTTTCTCATTACAAAAGAATGTCCGAAAAAAAATATTATCGAACAATATTATATGATTACACACCATTAATAAAAAAAAGCTTCGACTACTTCGAGCTATAAACAGCGAGCAACTGAATCATTACTTATAAATCAAAACATAGAGTAAGTTTAACCTGAAATAATCAAGCTCGACCAAGAGATGAATATATTCATCAGACACATTCTCTAACTAATTTATATTCAGTTTGCGATCTAATTATACACAGAGCACGAAGAAACACCGAAATTCGTCCTGAACCCATATACAGTGGGGGGAAATAAATATTCGTACACTTGAAAAATCGTATTTTAATGTATGTAAGTACACAAACTTAACAGGAAAAGTGATTTAAATTTACATAATTTAAATCACTTTTCCTGTTAAGTTTGTGTACTTACATACATTAAAATACGATTTTTCAAGTGTACGAATATTTATTTCCCCCCACTGTATATATATAGGCTGGCAGGCTATTATGTCTTTAATACTTCTTTTCTGCACGCAGTGAGCATAACTATCATCAATATTAAATTTTCACGATTCATTGTAATAATGATTTATTGTTATTCAATAATAATTCATAGTAAACTGGCTTTAAAACTTAGAAATGTTTCGTTTGATTTCAAGGAGGTTTTAGAAAGATCGATGAACAAAATCGGTCACGAATTGTTACTCTATAGTATATTGTAGAAATTATTTTAGTCAAATAGAACGTTTTTTAAAGGGGTACAACAGCAACACATTCCAATACAAGCTACTGCCTCCTCACACACAAAATTTTCTGTCTTTTGAGCCACAATAAATTAAATTAGAAACGTATCAAATTTTGATTATTAAAACTTTCCTTGAACATTTTCGAAATTCACAAGAAAGCAATACTCTTCAATATGTTGAACTTTTTTTGTATTATTCATAACTCTTTAAGTTCATTGCACGAGCCAATGAAACATAAATTTTATCACTGGAAAAATTCATATAAAAGTTACACAACTTTCCACTTTTTACAGAATCACAGCGTGGTCTAATATAAAGCTATATAAAATTTTTGGAACGTAACAAGTCTCAATTCGGTAACCCTGAAAGAATTTCGAACATTGCATAGCACCCCTTGGTTTGTTTTGAACATGTCAAACCTAAGTTGCAGAGCATCGAATATTAAAAACTTCAAACACAAATTTCGAACGACATTACAGATATCAATATAGTAATTTTAACGGAAGTTTTCATTCATATTATAAAAAGTTAGGTTATACCAAATAACCCCCACGATAACCAACTCGGGCTGAATCTTACTAGTTTTTAAGCTTACGTTATGTTGACATAATATGAATATTCTGCAGGTTTCGACAACGGGAAGTTTGAGTTTTTCACACAATACATACAAAACGGGACACGTCACTATTTACTTCGACAACAATGTCAAATATCTGGCATTTCTTTCATAGTAACTTTACTCAGGAACAGTAGCTGCAGTTCCGTACCTATAACACATACAAGCACAGTTAAAGTTGGCTATTCGAAGCTAAATTCTAGACACAGGCTAGCTCACTACGAACATTTTTACTATGCTTGGAAGCTCTTCGGTGACCGGTGAATTGTAACCTAAGTAGGGCAGGAAGCGTATCTACTTTTTCTGTACAAACTAACGTTTTTTTCCAAGCGGCTAGATGTTGGAAAATTCTTTTATTCTGTGTAAACTGAATTCGAAAATAGGTCACTTCATTCAATAGGATTCTGACTGATATGAATGGTAGAGTATGGAGAGAGAGCTCGTATCTTTGTCTACAGAATTGTTATTCTGACAGGGACAAACATATAATTATTTATTAGTTGAAGTACAAATAAAATTATGTTCAATATTTATAACGTCAAGCGATAGCTTTAAGAGAAGGTTTACTCATTTTCCACGACACGAGAAGTCTTGAAATGCGCTTTAAAAATTGAAATTAAAACGAAGTTTTTCACTCGTGTGCGAAATAATCAAATCGTATTTATTTATTTTCAATGCAATAGCTAACTAAATATTCATAGAAATCGTCCTTCACTTTCAAATCGGGACGGCTACCAAAAAATCGAGCTGAGATTTTTTCCAAGTTTCTTTTTTCGTGGCTTTTAATTTTTTTAACCAACATCAGAAATTTTTGTAAAATGTAGAACGCCAACGATTTGAAATAAGAGAAAAACCTATATGTCAAGTTCAACAACTAACTTCAAATAAAAAAAATTCAACTGAAATAAAGAGGAAAATAATAAAAATAAATAAAAAAGGCTCCATCTATATTTCAAGAGGATATGATACAATAGGCTAACCGTAAAGTAAGATACATGGCGCAATAAAAAAAAAAAACGAGCAGTTCCAAACACTACAGAGAGGAGAGCTGTGCTAAAATTTCAACCCATTGTTAGCGTTATACGTGATTAATAACTAAAATCAAGCCTTGAAACTCAATAGAAAAGAAATCTCAGAAAAATAATTTTCATGCCCCAATCACTGCTTATGACCTTGTACGTAGGTTTTCTTTTTTCAATGAACAAACGCACATAAATTCCAGAAGCGATGGAGATGTGTAGGGATGTAGTTCACAGTATTCTTTCCAAACTATTTACCGTACGATTAAGATACAATGCAGCTCGCTACATTCATCCACAATAAACCAGCATGTGAAATAACGTCAGCTTAGAACAATCTTCTTTAACAAATTCAGGAGTGCGACGTCAGTCATTAGAAGCAATATTCTTGTTCATATTACCACGAAGAAATTGGTTGGTTGTGCAATGACCAGAGTTCCAAAGCTAGGTATTTTCGAGATAGTGTTATTGTGTGTGAGAATCCGTGAGAAATAACAGAAATATTACATTTCATTAAATATTTCAATTAGATCTGCAGTAGCAGCGTGGAAATACGTCTTTCTCTACACACACATTCACTGGTACAATGCCTTACTTCGATTCTACTGAACAAATAAAACCTAAGAAAAATATGGAATCGTGCAAGATGGAATACATGTTTATGAACAATCTTCTACAGAATCATATAATGAATATGTTATACCGGTATGCATTAAGGTTCATACTGAGATCCAATTGTGTTATTCCTCGAAGGTATCGAACTAAAAATGAAAAAAATGGAATCGTGCATGATGGAATACAAGTTTATGAACAATCTTCTGAAGAATCATATAATGAATATGTTATATGCATTAAGGTTCATACGGAGATCCAATTTGTGATATTCCTCAGAGGTATCGAACTAAAAATATCTACCAAAAAACAGTCAAGTTGACAAAATCTAAGTGTTAATAGTGTTGATAGAGACGGTTAGTCGGTCAAAATAATGGGTATTTATATTACGGCATTTGATAGGCAAGGTTGTGGGTTTTGCGCTTTGTTCAAAAATAAGAGCGTTTTATTGCAATGGGCTTGAAGAATTAAAATTTGTTTCCCAAAACAGCAAAAGCAACTGAAGAAAAAGAACATTTTTAGCTTAACGAGTCGAAAACAAAAGAGACAACATAATGAGATCCTGTCCAAAATTCGAGTTTTATGCGAACAGAAAATTTAAGGTGAGCGTGTCCACGAAGAAGATGACGCGAGTCAAAGGCCTCGTATAATATTCTGTTAATACTGATATTCAGTCTTTATTAGCCGAGAACGATTAATTATAAAATTGCTCGACACAAAATTACGCGAGGTTGGAAACAATACAGTTCATAATCAGTAGATTAACATGAAACTATGAATAGGGTTTATGATATGTCAGGCAATATGGGCAGAATTAATTATTTTCTTTCGTTACTATTCAAAGTTTGATGTATCAAGTTAAATTCATCCAAGAATACCAAGATCATAGCACGCAAATATTCATTAATTATACTCTGATTATAATTAATGATCATTCTAGTTCATCCGACCATCGTAAGAATTCAAAAATGCAGTCACTGGTTAAAATGGATAATCTGCGATAGGATTAAAATCTAACCATAATTCCAGTCATATTTTAATAATCTTATTGAAAGATTATGGTAGCAAGTCTAATTGGAAACATTGTCCAGAGATCTGGCGATGCCTTTACTTGTGTAAAGAAACCACGTAATCACTCCCACTAGTAATTACTAATGAAATTCATTTACTAGTAACATAGAACAAATGAACGCCCTATACTCTGGAATGTACCTTATATCTGAAGGGATTATTGATGCGGCTTGAGATTAAGATGTAGAGCAGGAAGGCTTGATTCACACACGATACACACGGAGAATTGGATGAATATTCAGGTAAGTCCTTACCAAGTCTATTTTTGATTTCCTACAAAAATTCCATTCCCTCCACAATATTTGTACGACATCTCCAACTGAAAAACATTTATGTACAAGTTGTGCAAACAGAAGATGACTAATATAAGTTGGCTAAAAACAACCTAGCAAATTGAACACAAGTGCAAGAAACGAAACCTGTCGAGTGAATTTTCTGTTTGACAAACGACAAAATTAAAGAATTAGTAACTTACTCTGAATGTAAAAATGACATCTTTGTAAAAAACGATGTCTATTTATCGTGACCTGTGACCTAGACTATCTAATGATTGATCAATTATGAAGAGCTAAAGAATGAACCAATAGTGAAACATCAGCGGCTTCGGATTAATCAATTGCAGGCCAGAAATTAATTGACAACAGCAAGCACAACATCAATTCCAGCACAGCTCACAGCAAGATGTAATGGCAAACTTATATTCTACGGACAAATAAACACAAATCAGAACAAAAATCAAGAGATAATACGGAAAAACAAGGTTAGTCTCGCCTTTGATTAGGAATGACAATAATGTCGCCTTACTTACGCCATCCAAAATCTTGCTATAAAAGTCAAAGACCTCTACACCAGAAGCTTGCTCGCCTATACGAAAGAAACACAAGACAAATTTTACTAAAATGAATATTATTATGGTGTACGAATGAATTAAAGGGTGCATGTCAATATCTACAGTTCATGGCAGGCATAAAAACAGAATGAGGCAAGGAAAAAACACGAGCTGCACTGCAGCTCCAAAATACAGTAGTAAGAGCGTCGTCGCGCAGCATGTGAATAGATGCATCATATTTATTGGCAACGATTTATACGTAGATATGCTCATTTTATACGACATAAGACATACTTAGGCATGTTTGACCATCTAACATAAGAGCAATCGCGCCGTGGAAAGTAAAAAAAAATACGATTGAAACTCTGGGGTAAAGCTTAGCTGGCAACTCGAAAATTCCAACTTCGCTTTCATTCAAATTCAACTTACTTCGTTCATCAAGTCAGGAAGAACATTTTCGAAAGATAACTATCATGAGGTACACCATAAATGGACTTCAACCCTGTTATTACAATCACAGCAAGTATATTAAAGATCTTGTCCGGTAGTTCACAATTTGAGGCCAAAGTCAGTGGCATTAAATTTACTAAAGTTTTGCGTGGAAATCATTTTAAAATGCATCACACTGCTGTTATCAGACAAACCTAGATTACACGAAATGAAAAAAGCCTTTAACCACAGAAAAACTGGAGTAATTTTTTTTCCTGACCGAGCTGGAGTGACTGATTGAGAATTAGAATATAAAAGGAGCAAGGCGACGGACTTTCTGCAGTTAAAATGGAGAAAGTACAGTAATAAATAATTGGTTTCGAAGAAATCGCGTCACATTGACAAATCACGGTGAAAAAGATTCAAACACGTTGAAGAACCATCAATACCTTTGACATCGAACAGTGAAATAGATTTTAGAGCATAACAACATTCGGCTTTTAAGTACTCGGAAATATAGCACATGTTACCTGCCTATTCACTAGTTAACGAAAAAGAATGAACGCCCCCCACAGTAATGTTCTTCTTTCTCACGTATTTTTATGACGTGTACAAATACCACAGTTCCTTAGAAAAGCTATTGGCCTTCGAGCCATGGTTATTATTTTTTGACGTTATATTATTATTTGACGTTTGAACATCTGCAACTGAGTTACAACTCACCCAATTCCCACTGCAAAACATGCTGTTCTATGCAGCATGCTGAAGGTGTACTAAGCTGATTGTATGTAGCAACGCTGTCAGCACATGATGTGTTTTCCAACAGCTATAATTGCGACAATTCGAACAAAATATAACACGACAATTTGGCAAAAAAATCCAGCCAATTGCCCGGCACTGTCACTACAGGCTACACAGTGCAAGTAAACGTAGCTGCAACAAAAAGTGACAAAAAAATGCTCTATCCTATAATGGAAAACATGGCCAATGCAACTGAATCAAATATTATGAAGCCTTAGGTTCCATGAACCGCCCCACACCAACGACTTTACATTAACCATGACGGATCAAAATACTTTCCCATCCTTGACGTCATAAAATCTAAATTTTTTAGAATGCCAATTTCGATCAAACAAAACTAATCTATTCCAGTCTTTATCTTCGTCAGAAAATATTGTTCAGAGATAGTACTTAAAAAACGACAATGCCAACAAAAGGACATTTCTCTCAATGATGACAATAATGATACCTCAAAGCTGACGGACCTGAACTGTCGTCAGGGGCGAATATTACAGACTAGCACTGTCGTCACGGTTTAAGATGACAGTGACAGCTGTCACTATCAAAATGACAGACCAGCACTGCTGCTAAGACAGACCAGCACTGCTGCTCCTGCTAAGACAGACCAGCACAGTCTACACTTCTAACACGACAGACCAGCTTCATCACCACTGCAGAGACGACAGACAAGCCCTGACACCACTGCCGAGACGACAGACAAGCCCTGCCACCACTGCCGAGACGACAAACAATCATTGCCACCACTGCAGAGACGACAGACAAGCCCTGCCACCACTGCCGAGACGACAGACAAGCCCTGCCACCACTGCAAAAACGACATAATGGTCCTGCCACCACTGCTAGGACGCTAGAGAAGCCCTGTCACCACTACTAGGAGGCTAGGCAAGCCCTGCCACCACTGCAGAGACGAGACTAGCCCTCCCACCACTGCTGAGACGCCAGACAAGTACTGCCACCACAACAGAGACGCCAGACAAGCCCTGCTAAGACAAGAGATAAGTACTGCTCATGCCATAGGTCCAGTGCTCTTGACACTCCTGCTTGCACTGGCAGATGCAGCAGCGGCAGCAGCAGCACTGCTGGCTGCCGAGTCTGCATGGGAGCGCGAGGTGACCATCTTCTGGATCATGTTGCGCGCATACTTCAGGCGACTGGCAAGGTCTGCACTGCAGCCGTGCTGAAATGTAACACCAATCTTATAGATATGAAACAAAATGAGAAACCAGAACTTTACTGGCCTGGCTGAAATTTAATACCAAAAGGTTAGTGGAATATAAATTTTATATTATTTAGTTGCTAGATCAATCAGACTTGAGCATCGGTGCAGTTCTGGAGCTTATCAAAGAATTTCAGTTACTTTCACCAAAAGACTGATTGAATGCAAGCCAATATAACATAAGTAGGGAGATAATTACCTCTTGAATGAGGGCTAGTTTGAAGGTACGGAAGTTGCGCTGTTGATCAATGTAGGTGACGGCTCCCATCAGAGGACACAGGATGATTTTGGTGTGGTCCTCGAAGAAGTTCATCTGCAGAAATATTACCATTATTATTTGAGTCATTAATACCATTAATTAGGTGGGGTGGCAGCTGAGAGAACATTTTATTCAATATTAACAATAACGTATAGCTTGCAAGCCAACACGTTTAATGAAGACTAATAAAATAATTGATGAGAAATCATTAATTTAGTTGTCAATATTACTTCCAGGTGAGAAATCTAACTTCAAAGGTCACGTTGAGTATTGCAGACCAATTATAATAAAATATATAATGAGCTCGAAGATCAAAGAGCCATGTATTATGATCATTTCATTGTTTACGTCGTAAATTGATCATTTTGCTCCAAAATATTAATTACTCTTCCATAAATATTAGTAGAGAGACTGGCTCAATTAGCTAAAATAGGATACCGTGATCACTGCGGCGTTTCTGATAGAACTTGTTCGTCATTTAAATACACGGTAAGGGAATCATATAAACTCATAGACATTCATCGCTTATGGACATTTCAAAAAGTGCCAACATTATCAATATTTCTCTCTGGTGTACATATGGTCAACTCTCACCAACAATAAGGAAATATGATGCAAATAATGATGACCGAGGAGTTTGGACAGAAAACTATGACGTCACCACCTGCACCAAGCATTCAATGATCGTTAGCTGTGTTTTGGTTAGTGGCACATCACCCTCGCTCCATGCGACACAATGACGAGTTAGTGATAATCTTTGGTCTTTGGTTAGTGATTGGTAGTAGACCACTGTAGCGCAGTGGTAGCGGCACCGAGATAACAGGAGCTAGTCGTGGGTTCGAGCCTCGGGAAGCTCAGCTCATTTCTCGATGTCGCTGGCGAGCAATGCTTCATCTACTTCAAAAGGTGGTGCTTCCAGCCATGGTTGAACAATATAAGGTTGACCCACGAGAAGTTCCGTCTTTCAGTTCAGCTTTCTTGTTAAGCCACTGAGATCAAGAAACGTAAAGAAACCCGTCATTCCCATGACGGATTGGTTGACTGCCGACTGGTTTGATCGCATTCCGGTGATTGGTTAATGCCCGTGACGTCACTGAGATCTGTGACGTCACAGGCGAACAACGAACTACGTCAGCGAAAATGAGCTTCTCATGGGTCAACCTTATACTAGTTCAACCATGCATGGCCTTAGGTCTTGAGATGAACAAGTTAGGATAGTACAAAGCAAGACCCTAACAAAATTCAGGGTATGCTTCAGCCTCTGCCCCAGAGTTGCTATGTTCGCGTTAGTTATTCTGGGTCAGTTGGCCAACTGATCGCAATCAGCGACTAGTCAGAACCTCCTGGCCGGCTTTATGGTCTCCTGAGAGTAGGGCAAGAGTTGGCAGAATCCCTTCAGTCCCCTCACCAGGCTCTGATAGCTGTCTGATTCGGGGACCGGAATGTACACCAAAAAAGCGGACATAGAGAAGCTGATTTCGTTCTGTCCGAGTCCTAGGCAGTTCCTAATTCAGGGTCGCCACCAGCTAAAAATTTTGATAGGAGAGATAAGTGTGCTTCCAGTATAGCCATCTTAGGTGTTAATGTCTTGAGATGGACAAGTTAGGATAATACATAGCAAGAGACGAGTGATGTTGTTAACATTTGACCTGTAAGGTGCCGTTGGTGAGATGCAGGACGATGGCGGAGCGTGTCCTGAAGTAGGTCCTGAGAGAGGGGATCCTGGCGAGCTCGTCGCCCTCACGAGGACACATCGCAGCGCCCGCCTTCAGTAGATGCTCGTTCATGTAGTTACGGAAATACCGCAGCAGAGTTACCTGGAAAAAAAACCATCATCATTGTCCAAAACTTGGAAACATATAAACGTGCAATAAAACGTATCGTCACCTTCAAAAATTGAAAATGTATAGGAACGTATAAGAAAACGCATCAGCAGCTTCTAAACTTGAAAATATACGAGTGTATATTGTATATGTTGAATATTTGAATATATAAGTGTAGGTATATATTCATCAAATGAAAGAGACTATTAGAAAAAAGAAGGAACGCCCAAGCTATTCTAATATTAATCAAAATAACTGAGTATGTAAGAACTTTAACGAATGATGGACGTGTGGTTACAGATTTATACAAATTTCTAAATCAAATATCACAAATATAGTACCTACACATGGGAAGTGGAAATAGAAAAAAAAACAATATCATAAATTATATATTAGAGAAGTTTATCATTATGGTAACTTCGTTCAAATGAATGTATTTTTTGTTTAAATTTACTGATTTCTGAGAATGAGCCAGATTCCTTTGGAAGCAGTTTGAAGAGTAATGAAAAGCCTTTATTAATGGAGTTTTATTAATTGTTATATGATGAACGTTTACAATCGATCATTTGCAGTCACGTTAAACTCCTAAAAAAATATAACTCAGTACTCACTGCAGTGAGTGACAGAGAGCGCATTTTCTCGTCGACGAAAACTTGAGGTCACGGACGGACGAACAAACAGACGGACGGACAGAGCGAGCACAATAGTGCATTTTTTCCATAAATGAGAAAATGCGCTAAAAAGAACACGTAACTCTAGTAATCCATCATATTTCTATAACGACAGTTTAAAATAACAAACTTTTCCTTGCAGTTCATCACAACTTTTTTCCTTGTACCTATCATGGCAACCAGAGAATTTATTTTTTAATAAACTACTTTTAATTGATTAATAAAAGTGACTTTCGTAACGCACCTTTTTGTAGAGGGATTGCGGGAAGACGGTGAGAGTGTGGTAGTGTTCCGTCAAGTTCCGCTCAATGTAGTGGATGTTCCTGTACATAATTAATTAAGTTCAAGTTCAGTATATTAATCAGGGTTAGTATACTTGCAAGTTCACTTACGGTGGATTTTTTATAATTTACACTAACATTCATTGCATCAATTGTAATTAAAAATTCATTTCTCAAATGGATTGCAAATCATTTGTTGGCCTAGAATGCGTCTCATACCGTACCAAGCGTCTTCACAGCAACACGCGGCCTTGCAGCGCTGAAAAACAACACTATCTGGCGTCTCATTACATTCATTATAATTATATGATTAGATCAGATGTAGTTAAGACGTATTATTCACTTGACATGATAGATTGATAGAAAAGTATTAGACATCGTCTGGATGACATCACGTGATAGATTACGCGATCAAGACCTTAGTTGTGGGCGGAAGCCGAAGTCTATAAAAGGGCAGAGCCCCTGCAGTAGTTGATACGCACTCCGCGATGTAGCTCGAGGAGCGCGTATCATTATCATTTACGTCTCAATCACATGTGATCTAATCATATAATATAATTATAATGAATGTACGGAGACGCCAGATTGACACCGGACAACATCAAACAACAACACAATACAGCAATACAGAAACACACAAAACATACTCTCCATTAGGCAGTGATCTAATCATACAATATAATTATAATGAATGTAATGAGACGTCTGATTGACACCGGACAACACCAAACAACAACACTAAACAGCAATACACAAACTCATAAAACAGCAATACAGAAACACACAAAACAGCAATACAGAAACACACAAAACAGCAATACAGAAACACACAAAACAGCAATACAGAAACACACAAAGATGTGTATAAGAGACAGGGCAATTCATCAGCTGCACGGAAGGAAACAACGCAGGCAATTCATCAGCTGCACGGAAGGAAACAACGCAGGCAATTCATCAGCTGCACGGAAGGAAACATTACAGGCAATTCATCAGCTGAACTACGTAACAATACATGCGAGTGATCATCTTTAACAAGGCAGCTTGGTGCGGCTAGAGCAGCTTTAAATGGGCACAGCGCTGCCCTAAAACGGCACTTATAGCACATGACTCGCTTACAAGCCCGCTTTCTTGCTGAAATTCGGCTCTAACCAGCGCTTAAATAGCCGGTGGGCTATGGAGAATTTACTTATACTTCTTGACTGTCTTCCTAAGAGGGTTGATATTAAAAACACAAGATCGATGGCCACTGCTTTAAATGATGCGAGTATAAAGTAATAAAATTATGTCCGATCGGTCATAAAAAGCTTACTCAAGATTTCAATCAAGTTCAGATTTCAGATTAACGAAAATAATTGTACCGTTGCGAGTAAAAGAAAAATATTCAAAAACTTTTCCAGCCAATGAACATATTGGTAGTAGACGTGACAAAACAAACGATTTCGGATATTCACGTAAATAAATGCGTGAATAGTGTAGATCGGGGAATAAACAGAAGTTGAATGATAGCACAAGTCTTTCAATTTAAATTAAATTAAAATGAAAGACTAAATAAATCTACCATAAATGTTTATGGGTGTTTTAGAAACCATGTACTTATACGTCACAAATGCTGTTTTGTAAGTAGTTGAGTGAGATTTATCATCAAATTCTGAATACAAGCGTTCTGAACTCGAAAAGCGCACTCATCAAATGAATATCATGTTTCCATTACATTGAATTCGAAAGTTTTGCATAAGTAAGCTGTATAGGCAATCAATCGAACATCATGGATTTTAATTATGGATCATGAATATCTTAATGAAAAGCATGTGATCACGAATTTTATATCATTAGATATAAAAATGGATAGCATGTGATCACGAATTTTATGTTATCCTTGAGAGCATATCGGCAATAACGTAGTATTACATCCACAATAGCAAAAATTATTATCAATACCTATTTCCTATCATTTTGACACATTTTGATACGGGAGCTTTTTGATCAAAATCAAAATCTTTCTAATTCCGGAATAGTCAAAAATTTATCCAAAAATTCTCAACAGGCACAAGTTTAGCTGTAAAATAACTCTAATTTTAAACCAGCAGGTAACACTGTACAGCTCGAGCCACGGACACCATTTATTGGTCTAAATTGTAGACCGCAACACGGAAACATTTCGACGAGTCTCACAGGAGCGGAAAATAGCGTCTAACGAATCCCCGGAGAGTCTGATAAGACTCGAGACGCTTCGTCCGCAACGGCACGCAGCCACCTACCTCGACCGCCGCTAACGCGACACTGAAATGTCTCGCGCTCGCCCCGTAGACTTGTGTCAAAATAGAACAGCTTCAAGAGCGAGTATATACCTATATATTACTGATAGCTCAAGCGTGATCTCATTGTGCACGCCGTGGAACCTTCGAACCTGGGGCCATACTTTCAAAAAAGTTAAGAGATCGTAAGTTCATCAGCCAATCATTGACGTCCTTTCAAGCAAAATCCACCAATCATAGACAAGAAAATAGAGCGTAAGTACTTACGTTCTCTTAGCAAGTTTTGAAAGTATGGCCCCTGGACTCATTTATTAACGAGTGTTTAACGGTGTAGTTTCTGAAATTAATTACGAAGAACACGGGTATATTTTCAAAGTATATAGATCGCCCAAAAAGAAACGAGTGTAAGCAATACGAAAATATATAAATTCCATGCTTAGCGATAATATGACTACCGAAACAAAACAAACTACTAGACTAACAAACTAAAACGAAATAATACTAGACTATTTTACAAATGCAACGAATTCATTGTAGCTTCATAACAGAAAATAAGAAAATGAATACAAATTCAAATAGGGGAAATGTAAATTTTACCGTATTATTATCGTTTTTTTTTTTCATTTTGCCGCGAGCACATGAAAAAGGGGGCAATAAGACAACAAAAATCGCTGACTAAAGTTCCAAAAGTCAAGGCTCAACGCAGTAAACCAAAATGAAATAAAAATTAGCAGACGAATTGAATAATTATTATCAACCATAACCAGACTTACCTTATCCTGTACATCGATCGCCAGCTACAGGCAAAAAACACGAAATAACAATAACTTTATTACAAGTCACTTCTAACATCAAATATTCACTTGTTTTATTTACCTATTGTGATTTATAACGACATTATTTCATTTACAAAATTTTCGACTTGTTCAATTCTCATAACGTTACGTGAAATGTTAGTTCGCGAGATGTTAATAAGAATAATTGTAACGTATTACGTCATTGAAGAAAGATGCTAGGAGCGTTGGCAGCTTCATGCTTTAAATTAAATAAAAATTATGAATGAATAATGTGGACTAAGCACCTTACGATAAAATATGAACTTTAATGTTTTGATAAAAGATACGGCATAACTTGCTTACGGAAGAAGAGATCATAAAATCAAATAGTTATTTAGAAGCGCATGATAATCGAAGCCCTTTAACATAGTTTAATTGTTGGTCAAACTTTCTGACCTCTATGTCCACGGATGCATAAACCGTTGTTGATACTATTCATTGTCGATACTATTCATTGCTGATACTATTCATTGCCGATACTATTCATTGCCGATACTATTCATTGCTGATACTATTCATTGCTGATACTATTCATTGTCGATACTATTCATTGCTGATCCTATTCATTGTCGATACTATTCGTTGTCGATACTATTCGTTGTCGATACTATTCGTTGTCGATACTATTCGTTGTCGATACTATTCGTTGTCGATACTATTCGTTGCCGATACTATTCGTTGCCGATACTATTCGTTGTATACTATTCGTTGTTGATACTATTCGTTGTCGATACTATTCGTTGTTGATACTATTCGTTGTTGATACTATTCGTTGTTGATACTATTGGTCGTTGATAAATTCGTTGTCGATAGGTACTATTCATTGTCGATAGGTACTATTCGTCGATACTATTCGTTGTCGATGCTATTGGTCGTTAATACTGTTCATTGTCGATACTATTGGTCGTTGATAATATTCGTTGTCGGTAGGTACTATTCGTTGTCGGTAGGTACTATTCGTTGTCGGTAGGTACTATTCGTCGTCGATAGGTACTATTCGTCGATACTATTCGTTTCCAAAAGCCAGTAACGAACGGATCACTTAGACCGTTGTCGGCGTTATTCGTGTTATACTCTAACATTAGTTCATACCACTAGACGAAAATTTCAAGGTGAGAATAATAGAGAGCAAACCAGGGTCCGTTATTTCAATAATAGTTGCAAGTTTGTAACTCCGTCAGCCGATTACTAGCGGCTTTTCAAGCTAAACCCACCAATCACAGGCGGGAAATTGTCCGCTACTCGTTCATAGGCCACTACGTGTACTTATGCCAATATGTGTGCTAAGACCTCTACGTGTATTTAATGCCAATACGTGTGCTAAAGCCACTACAATTTTCAAGCTGGTGAATGATGCTATAGTCACGTTGCCAGCTTCATGCTTTAAATTAAATAGAATTTCTGAACATGTTTATACGAACTTGTAAGGCCACTACGTGTACTTATACCAAATCTGCGTGTACTTATGCCACTGCGGGCACTTATGCCGCCCTTATTCTATGGTTTTAAAACCATGGGTTTGGTTTCAAAACCCCGAAAAACCCTTATTCTATGGTTTGCCGCTGCATGTCCTACTGCCACCGCACGAACTTATTTTATTTTATTAGTAGAGCAAGAGAGGAGGAAGGGAAGTACCTACCTTTAGTGTTGAGCTCGATGAGAGGCTTCCTCGTAGGCACGTTATGGCGCGCGTCAAACCGAGGAGCCATCGTCAGGCAAGACGTGGGCAGGCGCGTAGGAATGTAGCCTGGACAGAGATAGTGTACAAGGTTATGATTATTGCATTTTGAATAGTTTAGCAGACAAATGTTGTTACGTACGGCATACATGTATGTTGATACGTCTAGCATACATATGTTGATATGTCTAGCATACATATGTTGATATGTCCTAGCATACATATGTTGATAAATCTAGCTTACAAATGTTGATACGTCTAGCTTACATATGTTGATACATCTAGCTTACATATGTTGATGCATCCAGTTTAGATATGTTGATACATCTAGCATACATGTATACGTTGATACAGCTATCATACATGCATATCTTGATTAATGACAAAAATATCACTACACAGATTTGCAGTTCAATCATATTGGAATGTATTGGTAGCTCATAGCTAACCCATACATCATAGGGTAGGATTTGGTTGTAGTCCTATGATGTATCAGTTTGAATTAAATAATGAGCAATTGTAAAGACACTTGTAAAATATAAAATAAACTGTCAATCCACGTACCTGAGACCATAAACTCGTCATCAAGGAGTTTGTTATATAATGAGCAATTGTAAAAATATTTGTAAAATATACTATAATAAATATGCAATCCACGTACCTGAGACCATAAACTCGTCAAGGAGTTTGTTATATAATGAGCAATTGTAAATATACTTGTAAAATATATAATAAATTGTAAGTCCACTGACCTGAGACCATAAACTCGTCATCAAGGATCTGCTGGGCAGAAGGTCTGAGGCTGGTGTGTCAGTTTGATAAGTAATTAACAATTGTAAATACACTTGGAAAATAAGTAATAAACTGTCAATCCACTGACCTAAGACCATAAATTCATCATCAAGGATCTGTTGGGCAGAAGGTCTGAGGCGGATGTGTCAGTTTGATTAATAATGAACAATTGTAAATACACTTGTAATTTGTAAAATAAGTAATAAACTGTCAATCGACGTACCTAAGACCATAAATTCATCATCAAGGATCTGTTGGGCAGAAGGTCTGAGGCTTGGGTGTCAGTTTGATTAATAATGAACAATTGTAAATACACTTGTAATTTGTAAAATATATAATAAACTGTCAATCCACGTACCTGAGACCATAAATTCATCATCAAGGATCTGTTGTGCAGAAGATCCAAGGCTGAGGCTGGTGTGTCAGTTTGATAAATAATTAGCAATTGTAAAGACACTTGTAAAATAAGTAATAAACTGTCAATCCACGTACCTGAGACCATAAATTCATCATCAAGGATCTGTTGTGCAGAAGATCTAAGGCTGAGGCTGGTGTGTCAGTTTGATTAATAATGAACAATTGTAAATACACTTGTAAAATAAGTACTTTCAATCCACGTACCTGAGACCATAAATTCGTCATCAAGGAGTTTGTTATATAATGAGCAATAGTAAAAATACTTGTAAAATATAGGTACTATATTAAATTGTCAATCCACGTACCTGAGACCATAAATTCATCATCAAGGATCTGTTGGGCAGAAGGTCTGAGGCTTGGGTCGGCATGCAGCAATCTCTGTATGAGACTCTTAGCGGAGGGCGAGACACGAGACGGTACGTGGTACTCGTTCTTCTTGATACGCTGGTACGTATCCTTCAGTGTCTGTGTCTCGAACGGGGGCTTGCCGACCAGCAGTGTATACAGTATACAGCCCATGGACCATATGTCGACCTGCAGTCAATAAAAATAAATACTGGTAATGTGTGTGCAGTATACAGCCCATGGACCAAATGTCGACCTTTAGTCAATAAATACTGGTAATGTGTGTACAGTATACAGCCCATGGACCAAATGTCCACCTGCAGACAACAAAAATAAATACTGGTAATGTGTGTACAGTATACAGCCAATGGACCATATGTCGACCTGCAGGCAATAAAAATAAATACTGGTAATGTGGGTACAGTATACAGCCCATGGACCAAATGTCGACCTGCGGGCAATAAATAATGTGTTTTCAGTATACAGCCCATGGACCAAATGTCGTCCTGGAGGCAATAAATAATGTGTTTTCAGTATACAGCCCATGGACCAAATGTCGACCTGCAGGCAATAAAAATAAAGTGTGTACAGTATACAGCCCATGGACCAAATGTCGACCTGCAGGCAATAAAAATAAATACTGGTAATGTGTGTACAGTATACAGTCCATGGAGCAAATGCGATAGGACAAGCTAGCTAGCATCTTATGTTTATTGCAAACATAACCATTTGCTTGCCTCTTATACTAACTCAGTATATTATATAGTTATGCGCTACAAGCATACCATCTTACAATACTAAATAAAAATGAATAGCAAATATTCTGCTATCCCACCAACAGTATCATCAGTAATCACCCTATGCTGAATTATTGTTTCTTATTCTAACTTATTATATTATATATCTAGTTATGTTACAAGCATAACATCTTACAATATTAAATAAAAGTGAACAACAATTATTCTGTTATCGCACCAACCGTATCATCAGTAATCACCCTTTGCTGAATAATTGCCTCATATTCTAACTTATTATATTATATAGTTATGTTACAAACATAACATCTTACAATAATAAATAAAAATGAAAAACAAATATTCTGCTTTCACACCAACAGTATCTACAGTTATCACCCTTCGCTGAATAATTGTCCGTTATTCTAACATATTATATTATTTAATCTTGTTACAAGCATAACATCTTACAATAATAAAAGTGAACAACAATTATTCTGCTATCACATCAAAATTATCCTGAGTTCTATCAAGTCACCTCAAAGCTGTGGCCCTTCTTATTAAGGATCTCAGGAGCGATGTAGTTTGGCGTGCCACACAGCGTCTTCTTGCGCTCACCGTCAAAGTCAACTCGAGTCGCCAGGCCAAAATCTCCTATTTTTACCTGACGTAACAAAAAAATATTATAGATTAAGACTACAAGTTTGAATTTTAACGCATTGAAGCTTGCATTACACTTTATATCACAAAAATTTAAAAAACCCGGCATCACATGAGGAAAAATAAGCTTGACAAATAAATTAAACATCCCATATTTGGTGACTTTTTAATGCTGAACATTTCAACCAATAAATAAAATCACACTATCAGTAATGAAGAATAAGGAAAGTAGTACAATGGCTGCAATAAATAATTTAATCTACAGAACAACATAATTTCAGAATGCATTCTTTCAATGTCAAATTAATGTGTATATATGCCCTTATTGATTGAATTGTAAATGTATCATTCAATAATGGGTACAAATCAAATTCATTTGATAAATTTTTTCCCAAATAAGCATTTCCAAACATTTTCCATTCCCTCAAATTTCAAGTTAGGTATACCATTGTTCAATGCAAAATTATTCCTGGACTTGAGAATAATACTGATTCTTAGGATGTGGTTTTTACAAACCAACCACAATTAGGTTTGATGGTTGAGAACTGTTTATCATTAATTTCCAGTGTTATTATCAACCAAATTATAATTAAATTTGTCACTCGAAGTTCTAGAGTCATAGTATCACATTATAGATATTGCTATCAGTTAATTTACCTGCATGTAGTATCACATTATAGATATTGTCATCAGTTAATTGTAGATATTGCCATCAATTAACATACCTGCATGTCATCATTAAGGAAGAGATTGCCAAGCTTGAGGTCCCTGTGTATGACACGCTTGTCATGCAAGTGTTTCACGCCGTGCAGCAGGTGACGCATAAAGTATCGGGTCTCAGGCTCTGTGAGTGCCTTGCGACGCTTGTGCAGTTCCATCAGTGACTGAAATAAAATGAAAAAAATGTTTAGTTTCTTTTCTAGTCTATGAAATAAGAGCATCTAGGGTAGGGATCTTTGATATTACAAAGCATGTGCATTTCCATCAGTGACTGAAATAATCAGAAAAAATCTATGGTTTTCTTATCTAGTCTAATTATGAAATAAGAGCATTTAGGCTAGTGATTTTTTATATTACGAAGCTTGTACAGTTACATCAGTGACTGAAATAATGAGAAAAATGTTTGGTTTATCTATTATAATTATGTAGTAAGAGCACCTAAGAAAGTGATTTTTGATATTACAAAGCTTGTGCAGTTCCATCAGTGACTGAAATAATGAAAAAAAAATGTTTAGTTTCTTAGACTAATTACATAGTAAGAGCATCTATCCAGGTTAGTGATCTATGATATATGTATAGATTAAGATGGGTAATCTTCATAAAATAATATCTATAGACATACAATACATTATAGATATCAACTTAGACATAGATAATATCTCAAGATAATTTTCAGCAGTAACAGCATTAATGTTTTCACTTTTAAATTAGTAAAAATTTATCAACTTGGTTAAAGTTATCTAATTAAGGGACATCAATCAAAAGTTATCATATTTAATTAAGGGGCTGTAGCACACATCAATAATTGCATTTTTTCTGGCAAATATATGAAACTTTTGTATTAACTTAATCACGCATGTAAATAGAAATAATTCTTTCAAGAAATGCCAGTCCTGTAGGAGACATTAAAAAACAAGTTTTTCAACCTTATCACCTCCAGGGGGGATAAATACAATATTAGTCAACAGTCATAACCAACAAACTTACTCGCCAGTCCTCTAAAACCATTAAGAAACAAGTTTTTCAACCTTATCCCCTCCAGGGGGGATAAATACAATATTAGTCAACAGTCATAACCAACAAACTTACTCGCCAGTCCTCTAAAACCATTAAGAAACAAGTTTTTCAACCTTATCCCCTCCAGTTGGGATAAATACAATATTAGTCAACAGTCATAACCAACTTACTCTTCTCTTGCAGAGTTCCAGAATAACATAAACGTTATCTTGGTCTTCAAAGAAGCAATGAAAGCCCACAATGTGCTGGTGATTGAGACTGCGATGGATGGCAATCTCCTGACTCATTTTCTCTTTTTGGTGGGGCTTGAGCAACAAAGACTTTGATACAATCTTGCCCGCATAAACTGTCTTGGACACGGATTCTGTGAGCTCGTAACATTTTGCGAAGCCTCCCTGCAATAAAACACAAGTTGGTTAAGTTGGAGTCAAAATTACAAGTAGAATACAAAATTTGGAGTCAAAATTACAAGTAAAATACAAAATTTGGAGTCAAAATTACAAGTAAAATAAAAAATTCAGAGTCAAAATTACAAGTAGAATACAAAATTTGGAGTCAAAATTACAAGTAAAATGCAAAATTCAGAGTCAAAATTACAAGAAAAATACAAAATTTGGAGACAAAATTAAAAGTAAAATACCAAATTCAGAATCAAAATTACAAGTAAAATACAAAATTCTGAGTCAAAATGCAAAAATTTAAAATTATATTGAAGCTTGGCCATACACAGTAATGGGTAAATGGATAATGTTATTACAATAAATATTAATTACAACATTTGCCAAGACTTAAGCTTTATAGGTTCAATGGAACAATTGAATTGGTATGGNTCGCCCCAAAAAACGTGGGTCGGGCTGTACGTTCACCATCAAATTTCCAAAATTCGTGTGTTGTGTGCTTTTCGCTTTAATCATAAATCTGCCCGACACACGTTTTTTGGGGCGAGCCACAATTTATTTTCTACTTTTTAGTCCACAAGAAAAATGTGGTTTTTTAAAAAGTTTTTTTTAAGTATTTTATTTTATAGTCTCAGACTATCCAAGCAATGATGATAAATCATCTTACAAAGTCATCAGTTTTACATGAAAAATTTCTCTGGCATTAGAAAACATGGACGAATAAAAAAAGTTTTCCAATATTTTACAGAACTCATGCAGAGTGTACATGTGACAGCAAGCCAGAAGCAATGCAATGGAAGCAGGGTTGGTGATTTTTTTCTTTTTTTTTAATCAAAATTCAAAAATCAATTACTTATTTGATTTTTCATGATTTTTCTATTTATTTGATTTTTTTTATTTTTTCAGTTTTTTGTCTTTTTGAAAGGTTATTTTTTATGTTGCAATTAGCCTACTAACAATAACAGTAGGTATGTGGATCATAATCAGGGTTGGCAATGATTAAATCCAAATGATGAAATCACTTTATTTTTTATAAAAAAATTATGATTTTTTATTTTTTTCTATTTTTTTTATATATTTAAATATATTGAGTGGCAGTCTTTAATTTATTTTGAGGTATTGTTATTCATGGTTTAGAATAAAAGTACTATGAATGACAAATTGGTATTTAAACTTTTTGCCTTTAGTGTGTAATAGGTTCCAATAAATTGTAATTTTTTGGTAGAGGCATCAAGTGTTGCAATACATTGTACATTGCTAGCACCTTAGCTCATTCTCTAAAAAAGCCAAAGTCACCCCAGACTTTGGTGTGTTTTTGATTTTGTTTTGCAAACAAAAACGGGGTCATAAATGCCAGGGTCGTAAATGAGGTCATAAACGCCAGAGTGACTTTGGCCATCATTTATGACCCAGCTTTTGTTTGCAAAACAAAATCAGAAACACTGCTGAAGTCACCCCAGTTGACAGTACCATATAACTGATCTGTATTATTGATGAGATATTACCATATCCATGAACATGCCATTGAGCATTTACAACAACCTTGTCCACTGCAAGCTTCATATCAGCAGCCTTATAGCATTTTTTCTGTATCTGTAAGCTTACAGGACGGCTTGTAATTTCACACCATTTTAATTGGGTTAAGTGAATTTACTATAAAAAAAATATAACTCAGTACTCACTGCAGTGAGTGACAGAGAGCGCATTTTCTTGTCGACGAAAACTTGAGGTCACGGACGGACGGACAGACGGACATGTCCATAAATGAGAAAATGCGCTAAAAAGATCATGAAAAACATACCTGAAACAGAAAGGAATGTTTTAGCGACAACCATCATAAGTTTTGGAGAAATAAATCATGGTTTAGGTCAATTACTTTTCATTCTATGATGCCTGGTGCACAATTCTAAATATGACATTCTATGCACAATTTTGTGATGACCGATGATGCACTAATTTTTCGATAAGTGAACTTTTTTTCGCTCAGCAAGGTAAATGTGTAATCAATATTCTTTGTTTTTAATAAATTTTTTTCTTAACTGGAGCCTTTGCTAACTGAGGTTCTACTGTAAATGTGCTTTTGGGGGTGTCCTGAATAGCCCCTGGGGGGTGTCCTGAGTAGCCCTGCTGTGCGGAAATGACCGCCATTTTTTTTTTTTGAATGAGATAGGCAAAATCTTTCAAATACGTTTTCAAGCCAACACCTGGGTGCAACTTTTATGTAAGTAAAATTTTTTAATACAGTGAATATTTTTTTACTACAGACCTTAGCATAAGTAACTTTTCAAAATATTGTTTTTTACCATTTTTTTCAGGAATTTTTCAAAGCTAGTGAATGTAGTATTTTTGAACTTCCTTTATACTACATAGATAGGAAAAATGTTGACGTTTACACCACTATATTTAGTTTTGCAATATTCCAATTAGTTTTGCTACTAAAACAGTTTTACGCCATGTCGGAGGACTGTCCCGAGTTACCCCGCCCGTCCCGAGTAGCCCCGGTTGATGGTACGCAATCAGTGCGTGAGGTATCTGCATTAACTGCAGATAAAGCTCCCAAACTTTGAGACGATAATTGCGTGAAAACTTTACATGATATATTGTGAGCCTTCTAAAGTTTTAATAATCAAGAAATCACAAGGTTCACAGAATCTAAAGGTTTGAATGCTAAATTGTTGATTGCAGGACTCCATTTTAATCAGTCAACTGAGTCAAGTGTCATGTATTGCCTTTTCTTCAAGAAGTTTCTCCGATTGCCGATGAGTTTATCCTCGATTTGAAAGCTGATGTAAAGAATAGGTGCAATAAATGTTTTTTATATTTAATTTGAAACCATTATGTTAAACCTAACCTGCAAGGACTCTTGATTGTCTCTCCTACTACAGTGAGCGCCAGTTTACTGAGGCATCCCAGTAGCCAGGATGTTAGGCAGACCAAGAACCTGGTAGCCTGGATGTTAGGCAATACAGCAAAAGTACAGTAAAATTGGATGTACTTTGAACGTGATTAGAATGACGTTCCGTTAATTTTCTTTTCTACTTTTCTTTTTAGTCTCAATGTAGTGATTGCAACCAAAACTATGCTTATCGATATAGGGGGTTATGACGACAAGTATTTATATTTATTTCAATACAACCGGTTATTTCAATACCTAATTTGATCTCATCAATCGCATGAGTGAACTTTTCTCTCGATAGAGTTTTAATAAGCTATTTACTGTCAGGTTGGTAATTTCTGGACATTGTCCGAGTGGTCAATAGGTTGCGATGGAAGGTTCTCTATACTGGCAGCTATGACTTGGCAAGGAGAATGACACACACATTTATCTCCGACCTCATATACTAAAAAAAAGAAGTACCCTACGCCTAGATACAGAGCTAGGAACGGTGAGAATACGAGTACACAGGTTTACTTGTCGAAAGAGATCCTATTCTATAACAAGCTGTTCATGAGACAACAGAATTAGACAATATTACTAACAGACCCAGAATTATAAATTGAAACTAAATCAGCGATGTAAACAAAGGTGGCTAAACGGCCCTGCTAGTATCTCAAATTTTCACAGATGTACATCACCAAGATCTGTAGAAGCGACCCAGTCCATTACGAATCTGGCGGTGAAGTCCGGCGTGAACCCAGTTCTCCACAGTGCTCCCGTAGTGTTCCTCAATGACGACCCTCAAAGTTGCGTATGGCTATAATATAGCTGCTGACGGCCAGATCGTGGTAGTTCTCTGTAGTTTGTAGGCCGGCTTCCAGATACTTTCTTAGCAGCCGTTTAGTCGTAGCTCCGTTTATTTGACCACTCTGGTGGATCTCTTCGCCGGTCGGTTATTCTTCTTCAGGAATAACTATCCTCGTCGATAACGTAGTGCTCAGATAGCTCCCCTGAGCAGGACTTTGTCAATTAGAAAAAACGGCGTGCTAGAATAGTCTCTTCTGAACAATACTTCGAGGTTCACAATATTCGGTAAACGGCGTGTTAAAAATATTCTCTTCTGAACAGTACTTCGAGGCTCACAATATTCGGTACGGATCTCCCAGCTATCTCCTTCGTCGCGATTACTTGCAACAAAATCTTCAATGGTTATAGTTATATTCTCCTATACTAATCAAATGACAAGACACAAGAGTAAATAGCATTTCCTTCTGTAGATCCCTCTTGCTTACCCGTGAGTAATGCGCACAATTAACAATCTTGGGACATTCACTGTGTTTCTTGACATAACCTTCATGCCAATTTCCGAGGCCGATTTCTGACAGCCTACAAACCTGAGACTGTTTCTAGTTGCCTGAAACGTTTTTTCAAGGTGGAACACTTTTTTTTAAAGTGAACCACTAATTTTAGAATTCCACCCTGGTTTAATGCAAATTCCAATATTTTCCATAATCTGAAATGAAATTCCAGTAGGGTAAACGCGGTATATTCCGACATTGTAGGTAATTCCATCACTTCTCTAGTTTTTCCTTTATATTAAGCTTTGTTTTAGTTCCATGCGTTCATTGTTGGTTGAAATGGTGACGTCATACATTTGCGTGTCAAAATACTGCAAAAACACTAGGTCTTGGCCATCTAGTGGGAAAATATTGAGATCCAAAGAGAGACAATGCATGCCACCTGGTGAGATCATCGAAAAATGTGTCAAATTTGACAGTTGACCTTGCTCTACCAAATAGTGAATAACTGTTTTTATAGGAAGAATATTATGGTTTGAGACTTTTAAATATGTCTCTGTCTCTGTGAATATATTAGGAATCCTTTAAGTAAACTTGTATTTGCTGATTTCAAGTCGTAAATAAATTAATAGATGATTAAGTTGAGTGATGGATTTAGACCCATCAAAACTAAATCCGACACAACTTGAATTGGACACACACAGATCGTTCCAAGCTTTGTACAAAAATTGAAATTTGCTTAATTAAAAGCCTAATAGCTGTTAATTAAAACGTAATTAAGTAGTGTTCAATATTCGTTAGTGTTCTAATTCAANTTATTTACTTATATCAACTTCGAAACTGTACATATTTTAAAATTGAGTTGTTATGAGACCATAACTGAGAAAATGTTGCTCAATGGGTTAGTCCAGTCGTAAATGAGACTTTCGTTATTCCCTTCCCCCCCCCCCCCGCTGAGCCGGACCGGTCGATGCTCTTGCAAACGCATAAGTACTCACAATAATTCCCTGCCACCATGGCGTTTACCCTACTTTTTAGACCTGGAAAATGAAAAATTATATTCCAGCCTTCCAGGACATTCCAGATTTTCCATGATTGGTACGCACCCTATGACCCTAGTCCCTAGTGCAGTAAGTGCACAATCAGGTCCCAAGATTTTAATTGTATTAAAAATTCACTACATTGGAGCCACAAGATTTCAAAAACAAGTTAGCCTAGGAAAATTCCAGTCCTGTTTAAATTCACAACACCCAATTTTATTTTGCAATTTTTGAAAACCACAAATAAAACAATATTTTGTACCCATATTTTCTTAATTTTGTTTGATATTCTTGATTTAGCCTCATTCTATTCAAGCTCAATAACTCAATCAATCACCTAAGGAAATCAAAGGTTTGTTTTTTAATTTGAGTAATTTTCCTATTTAAAAAATAAACATAATTGCTGAAGGTGAAGGAATCAATTCAAATGAACACTGATGAACAGAGATTTTGCATCAGTGTACCTACCAAAATTTATAAGCTGAGCAGGGCACAAAAATTTTGTCCCAATTTGAACCCAGAAATGGTGATGCCGTGATGGTCTGTCAAGTCGGTTGAACAGTTGAGGTTATGATTGATTACTTCGTCTCAAAATAAGCGCCAGCTTACCTTTCCGAGAAACTTTCCACGATAATAAGTTCTACCAGAAGTAGTATCAGTTATAATTTGAGGTAATTCTTTTTTTGGTTCTTCTTTACCATGCGAAGACATTTTGAAATTATTTTCTAAACGTTATTGCTAGAACAACCATTTGCACACTAAACATCCCTGGGAGTTTGAACTTGGGAGGGAAGGGTTTGCATGTTGCCCCGATGCTGCGAATAATCCCCTAAAATCAAGGGTTTTAATTCATCTCAGAAATAGATGAAGCAATTACGTAAAATTTTCAAAGTCTACTTTTTACAGGAAATTTTTTACCGATATTTTTTTAAATAAAGATTTAAATTTACTATTGATATTACTTTTAAGCTTAAATTACTTCAAGATTCTGTTATGGGATGACCTATTTTCGCCAGCACAACTTCGGTTGCAGGGACGTCGTCATTTAGAATAACTTCAACACTTTTGCGTATGTGAGCACTATTAAACTTGTGGTGATAATTATATCTACCAGGGTAACTTATAACATTCTCGGGTCTGTTAAGGATTTGTTAATATAATCTAGGTCTGGTTCATGGTACCAGAATTTATTTTCAATGCCTTGGCGAACACTCGCACAATTATGCAGCCAACCACATAAAAAATTTCGCGATACAGACGATTTACCTAATGACTTAGGTATTTTGGTTCAATATATAATTTAGTTGTTTGTTGCTTCTCTAATACCAAGTTTCTGATTCACACAAAGACATGATCGATAAGAGGAAGACATATAAAGAAATGTTAATTCCAAAGGCGCGTTGCTGCCGTTGCGGTCTTGTAAAATATTACAGATACGATGATTATCCGATGCAAATGAATTAAAAATAAACTCTGTTAATGATACTCTATGATCGCTAGATCGGTATCAATAACTCCACATTGAGTAATGAGTATGTGTAATTTCAATAATCCGTCTACTTTTTATTATTCCGGTTTTCAACTATTTTACACAAATGTTATTTCAGTGCTTACTCTTTACCAAGATAGCGGCTCCTATACTTATCGTTATTGTAGCTATAGCCTATACCGAACCAATTTCGCCCATATAACTTAAACCCAAAGAAATGTAAATGGTACGATTAATTTTCTGGGTGGAATTTTTTTTTAGACATTTATACACTTTTTCCGCCTATAGACTGTAAAACTTTTCATAACTAAAAAAATACTTCGAACTCTCCTGGAAACAAAATGAATACACGTTTCAATACTTCACTATTTCGTTTAACTGAAACGCTTGCGAGAATGCAAGGCGCGAACATTAGTGCCAATGGAATAATATATACACTATCATATTTATTACGTCGATGACGTTCGCGTGAATGCTGTAAATGATTACCTAGATTAATATGAAACAATTATGAACGTTCAATATCAAAATCTTAGGAAGAGGAAACACAAGAACATCCCACAGTACTCGAGCTGTCCCAACGAGTCCATGGTGCATCACTTGCAAGTTGCAAAACTACACGCAAGTTAGGCGGGAGTGGGGAACAGCGTCTGATGCACACACACTCGTCCATGGTTGAATGATTATACTTATTTATTCAACCATTATTATTGAGTGTACTGCTTATTGGTTATACTATTATAATCAATGCGCTTAATAGTTCAACCATGCACACGTCTGGCTGTCGCACTCATACACACGTCTCAATAAATATAAACTGGCTCAAGAATTATTGACAGTAATTTAATCCAAATGCCACATATCATCCACACCAAGCAGCTGCGATGCATGTAAAGATCATATCACATAATTTGTAAAATTCTAAGTTCCTAAAGTACTTGTGTAGAGTATATTATTTTCTAGCTGCATGGTTGTCATACGCAGTTCATCTGCTGTTGTTTTTCTCGATTTCGATTCTGGCGCTCGACTAACCTGTTAATGGATATATTTGGCACGTGTTTTAAAATTTAAATTACGATTTTAATATTTTCACGGGATTATGTGTCCCAATATTTGTTCGAAATAAACGATTCCGCTTAGCTGTATTCCTTTGTGAAATAATAATCTTATGTGGAGATTTTATATAGATGTGATATTAGCAGATATCAATTTTTACAGGGAAAGACCACACAGCGTGTACTCAAATTCTTTTGAAAGGAATTCACGTTACATACATTTATAATTTTTTCATTCCAAGGTTTCGATGATAATAATCTCTTTCATATACTGCTAGCAAGAATTACACGATAAATTGTCGATTTTTACTTGAAACTGCTGCATAAGGTTCGACAAACTTTATTTTAAAATAAAATTTCATAATCAGTGACGCTTGCTTCTTTCATATAAAGAGGCCTTACTTAAAATGCTGGCTTCGCAACAGAGGTACATCCCACCCAAACTAGTTCAACCATGCCTCCATCAAACATCTGACGTTGATTTATCTTTTTTTTTAATTTTACTAGTAATTTTTTGAAATACTAGTCAAAATTAGCTTAATTTTGACAACGTAGTTCAAAATTAATTGGCCTGGAGGACCATAAAGAGTAGAAAGGATAGAATTATTTGGACTACATTATTTTCACAAACGCACTGCTAAATGTGGAAACCGAATCTTGCCGGCACTGCCTATAGAAGGTTGCCAAGCTCAAACCGCCGTGAATTTGGCGAAAACCGAAAATGCAGCCGTTTAGCATTTTTAACTTCCCAGTGCTCCATGGCAAGACCAAGTTCTACCGTCCTAACCATGAGAAAAAAAAATCAACCGTTAAAGTTCGAATTATAAACTTATGCCTCATAGTACGACAGAGTTCCATTTTTCTTACGAGTTTGTTACTCAAAATTTAAAGTGATCGCCTGACCACGCGGCAAACAATCCTGAGCTATCCACGCGATACTCATAAATTAAAAAAGACAAATAAAATAAAAAAGACACACAAAGTAGTTTATTGTTTGAGGTCGAGGGAAGCCTTGTCCTTTCTGCCGATGACTCGCACGCCCTCCTTGTTGAACCTCCCCCCTAGGGAGCCCCAGCCTGGCACGTCGTTGGCGTCGCGCTTGCGACGAACGCGGCGCTTCTTCTTCACCAGCTGTCGTCGAGACAAGTGTTTATTAATTATAAATTCAGCGAGGACGTTAAATTTAAATTTGTAATGCATTTGGTAAATGCATTCTGTATAGATAATAAGAGTCTATATTACTATTGCAATGAGTACGAGAATACATTCTGTATAGAAAAGAAGAGTCTATAGTACGTATTGCAATGGGTACGAGAATACATTCTGTATAGAAAAGAAGAGTCTATAGTACGTATTGCAATGTGTACGAGAATACATTCTGTATAGAAAAGAAGAGTCTATAGTACGTATTGCAGTGAGTACATACTTGTACAAAATGTATAAGAAAGATTAGCCGATAGTAGGAAGTGCATCTTCTACACAGACGTATATCAAAAGCATAGTTTCAGAATTTTACATAGATGAGCAAATAGAAAGATAAACAAATGCACAAAATACTCATCAATGCATCCACATCAAGGACCATGAGTGAGAAACAGTATTGTAAATGGGAATATGAATACATGCATGAAATAGAACATTTATCAACAATGTTTGAATATCTTGCTTCCGATACAGTTAGGCAAAAGTTGTTCTTTAATGCAAGTTTGAGACAAGAGAATGCACTGTAGCAAAAATTTTCTTCTTGGTTAATCCCATATCTTTTATTGCATCATAATTTGGTGATAGTAATTCCAAGTTGATTCGAGTAAACTAATTGAAAAATCTGTATAATGAGGATAGAATGCTGGTAAGCCTAAAATAAATAGTGATATTTCCCAAGAATTTATGTGACAGAGCAGGACTCAAATGGTTGTAAATAAAAACTCACATCTCGCATGCCGGTATCAAGTAGCGTTTGTTTCTTCTCTTGCTCAGACGCCTTCTCGCTCTTCTTTTGTTCCATGTATAACTTGTAGTTCACAAACTGGGGAAGCACAAAAAGTTATTATCCTAATTGAAAGATGATAAACCACCACTTTGCAAAAACAGGATAAAATTGCGTTCCAAAATACTACCAAGTCTCTTTTTGATTTGTATCACTAACGCTTTCCAAACAGAAGTGAACAAATTTTTGATGTAATAATTCAACTATCCAGTCTAATCAAAACATATATATATACTGAAACCTATATGGTATATATATCCATACAACACATATATACACATTCACAGTCCTAGCCGCCCTCGATTAGCAATCAAACTTCATTCTACTCAATCCCTCATGATAAGACAACACGAACCGGTTGATTGCCGTCAATCTATCCTTTGATTGTCTTCCTCCTATCGAGCAAATAAACTCACCGGTTTCTTTACTTTAGATCCCCCCAGCTTCTCTATTTTCTTAAGCATATGGAGTTATTGCCGTCAATCTATCCTTTGATTGTCTTCCTCCTATCGAGCAAATAAACTCACCGGTTTCTTTACTTTAGATCCGCCCAGCTTCTCTATTTTCTTGAGCATGTTGAGCGTTCGAGTGGCAGGGTCGAGAGTCTTGCTGATCACCTCCGTGTTGAGCCGACGCTTGATGCTGCGCAGTTCTTCCAGGTGTTGTTCCTGGTGGTACAAGGTAATAGAATGGATATAACAACAAGGATAATATAACTTCTATAACAACCGTCTAAGTCTTAAGAATAATATGAGATATAACAACAAAAATAATGTAACTTCTATAACGACCATTAAGAATAATATCAATTCTAAGCTGCTATGGCTGACAGCCATTTAATTAGAAACAAGTTTAAGACGTAAATATCTAGAATGAAGCTTTTTGGTGGAGAAGTGAGGAAAGTATGCAAATATGAGCATGTTAGATGGCAATTTTGTGACAAAGTGGAAATAACTTTTATGGAATCATGGAGAAAGCATATATATAAAAAGTAAATATTGTGTCCATTCATTCCATAACATTTTTTTAACTTTTATCATTGCTATTAGAATTATTGGCAAGTTGAAAGAGAAAGATACAATACAAAACATGCCAGGAATGACGAGAAGGTAAAAATCAACAATTTTAAAGCACTTGCCTTCATTTCACGCCTCAGTTGAATCTTTGCTTCTTCTTCTGGTGTTAAAGCCTTTTCCCCATCTTTGAGAACAGTTTTAAGCTGCTTACTTTTCTTATTTTCTTTCTTGTTAATAGGTTTCTCTATGGATGAAGGAATGGCTACACGTTTTTCAGAATAATCATAAACTGTGAGTACTTTATCACTGCCTGGACATTTCTTGAGGTACACTTGGCAATTGGGAATAGGTTTTGGTTGAGGCAGTTTTGCAAGTTCCCTCTTATCACGCATCTTTTTGCTCTCCAAGTCCGCCCAGTTCAGATCTGAAAAAAATAGTGAAGTTTTAATATTGAAACATGATGTGTAAACCTTCTGGAGTAAATTTTTAAATATTCTCAATAAATAAAATGAAAATGATGAAGATAGATGCAAGACATACGTAATTGCTCACTTTACTCGATTATATATGCCATGAGTTATTCATAAATTAGTTGATGGCTACAGAGTCCAGAGTTCAATAATATAACTATAAAATTTTCATTATTTGAATGATAGCCAGGAAAGGACTAATTACAGGAAGGCTCTCCAGAAAACATAGCAATTAATACTTATTATAAAAAAGTTGAGGAAGCTTTTACCTAATTTTTCTACAATTTTATGTACATGTGCAGGATAGCGAGATTTGATAATTTCTATATCTTCAGAAGATAAATTTGTTTCTTCTTTCTTAGATTTTTTCTTCTTTGGAGCACATGATGAAGACTCCTGAGCATATGGTGACTTTATATTGCCAGTATTTTTCTTCTTGCTTCCTCTTTTTCTTTTCTTGTTATTATGACTAGAATTTTCAATGCAATTTCCCTCTGATTTCTTCTCGATTGTTGACTTGTTGGACATTGTTTTTACATTAGATTCTGTTGATTTCACATTAAGATTTTGTTTAGAAATTAGATTTTGTTTATCTGAAGAAAAAGAATTGGCTTTAATGTTTACAAGCGATTTGAATGTTTGACTGTTTTCATTCTCTGAAGGTATACTTTCCTCTTCATCTGAGATGTCACTTTCATCAAAGGCATCAGATACATCAGTGTCATCCTCAGGAATAGAGGATACTATTTTAAAACCATCATCTGTGTATTTATCATCTTTTGTAGCATTAGAATTAGGAGGTTCATCTATTTCCGAGGTTGATTCTTCTCCGTCAGGCTCAATGTCAGACTCGAATGCATCACTAATATCGGAATCATCATCTGCAAGGTCTTCTTCAGAAATTATTTTGAAGCCATCACTCGTCATCTTCTTTTCATCGCCTTTCTTGTTCTGTGATTTTTGTTGTAAATGGCTGGATTGCTCCTTGGTTTTTTTCTTGGGCAAATCTGCAATAGAAGTGAATATTAATAAATTAATTTTCTATGACATCAATTTGATTTTATTAATAACAATTATACTACTGTAATTGATATGCTTACTCTCCTGAATATTTCAATATTTACAGTAGTAAATTGTATCAAAATCAACACTTTTCTAGCTAGAAAACTCATCAAAAACCATATTCACACAAATGGCAAGATTAGTATTAGATGGCAGGATTGTTTTTAAACATGTACAATTAATATGGCAAGATATGTATATATATTATCAACTGTGTCTAATTGTTTAAAATCATGGTGTCATTTGTAAAAAAAAAATTGCTGTCATCTGAAAAAAATCATAAAACTTTTCACTATCAACAGTTGTTCTAACTTGTTTTCTGAAATGAGATGACTAAATTAGAATCTAAAAATAAATTTGGGGTTCCAATCCATGCTAGAGCTGAAAGTAACAGTGTAATAATTACACTGTTACTTTCAGCTCTTTCAAATTCTTGTCAACAACGGGTATGCAAACAAAACAATTGACAAAGAAATTTCAAATATCAGAGCAAGTCAAATCCGAACAGATGAATCCACATCAAGAGGTTGCGTCACCAGAATCTACTATCAAAATCAAATGAACAGCGGTCATATGACTGACGAACGAGTCCTTAATTAAATTGTGCAAAATAACATCAGCTGCACAACAGCAACTTCTTCATAGTGGAAAACAAAGGTGCAAGTTGACTTTTTCAATATAAATGTGAATATGAGTTGTTTAGATTCTTCAATTTTGAGTCCTATGAGTAGACCAGTTCATATCATGGATACCAACTTTATTTTTGAACACAAAGATATTTAATAAAATTTTAAACTAGATCAGAAAATTAAAAATCAACAGATATAAAAAATTCATTTGCCACTGGTAGGATATTTTTGTAGCCTGGTTATAGTAGAACAATGAAATGAGAGCGCAAATATATAATTGTATTTAGGACTTATAGGAAGGTAAGTTACCTATAAGTCCTAAATACAAAATACAATTATATATTTTGCACTCTCATTTCATTGTAACCTAGTCCTAAGCTAAGGTAACAAGTTGGAACTTGGATCCAAATCATATACATTAACATGGTATACCAAAATGCAATCACTGTGTATAGTTAAAAACTTAAAAACCAAAATCATTTCAACATCTAAACAAATACATTTTCATGATTTCATCAATTGTTTGATCCTAAGGCTTATGTAAAAATCTGCTTATCTTAGAAGAGAGGATCATGATGATTAAGAACACATTTTATGTTCTCAATATCAACATTTAACAAATTGCTGCAAATGGGAAGACAATTTGACAAAGAGCTGCATGAATGCCCATCACCCAACAATAACATTGGTCCAGTTTCTGGACAACTTCAATAGACTGTCCAGACAACAAAAATTTTTGTAATTAATTTCTTTCTTCATGTACTTTTACATTTACAAGATACTTGTTAAGTTGTACTTGTACATTGTTTTTTGACTTCTAACTGGTACACACTTTCATTAATATTGGGAAGAAATTTATTCCACATGTAGGAATACGGGAATACGTAGGCCTACGCCTAGCTACCTAGCTACATCCTACACTACAGTACCTAATAGGCTACAGTATGACTATGAGTATGCATTAAAGAATAAAGAGTCTCAGTAGTCAGTAGGTTAGGTGTGCTGCATGCATGGGAAATGATGTCAAATTGTCAATATGATTATTATGATGACTTTCTGCATTGATCATCCAGGCATCTACATTACTTGTCAATTTTGTCATTACACACCTGACACCAAACACCATCAGTCCATCATAGCCTACGCCCTACAGCCTACCTACCTGTACGGCTGTACCTAGGTACAGGCACAGCTAGTGTGTTAAGTTCAAGTTTAGGTAAATGCAGACTGCCTCTGCACTGACTGCAGTAGTAATTTCTCACTGTGTCATTCTTATTTTTACTAGTTTAAAAATAATAATAGCATTGACAATTTGAAATTAGATATGCTAAACTAATCTCAATTTATTTTATATAGATTAAATTTACGGTCATTACCTGGGGGTTTTGGAGCACTGAAAAAAGCCTTGAGCAAATATTCTCTTGCCTCATTAAAAGCATCTGCTGAAGCCATGCTGTTAATCTTCCAAATAAAATCAATTCAATTCAAGAGTCAACTCCAGAGTCAAGGCACTTGACAATAGCTTTGATTTCAAAATCAAAACTAGAATGAATGAAGCTAGTTTGCTGTGGTCTCTAATGTCTCTAATGCTAAAAATAAATAAATTACTTAAAAAACTTTAAAAAAAACACGTTTTTCTTGTGGACTAAAAAGTACAAAATAAATTATGGCTCGCCCCAAAAAACGTGTCAGGGAGCGGAACTTTTCTTCAAATGACGGTAGATAAAAAGGCAAGTTTCATATTATTATTTATTTCCACCAAAATTTCAATGTTTAATGCTTCTTCCAACTTGAAAATGAATGTTTGTTGCATTCGAAACGTCGTTAATAAAGAAAAACTACTTCCTGAAACTTGCCTTTTTATCTACCGTCATTTGAAGAAAAGTTCCGCTCCCTGATAATAGAAACCAACGAATTCTCTGGTCATCAATCGCACGTGTGTAAATAAGTAAATCCTGCCATCTAATAACAATATATATATATTTATACTTTGATCAATTAAGCTAATTTAGGCCTCTAATTGCTAGTTTTTATGATTCTATCTGAAATTGTTAGACGAAAATAGCCTGCATGCCAAATTTCAGATCTCTAGAGCAATCAGAAGTGGGCTCATTTTCGTTGTCAATGTTAACAACAAACAAACAAACAAACAAACAAACAAACAAACAAACAAACAAACGCGAAGCTAAGCTAAGAAAAACGTGTTAAAATAGGTACTGGGAACTCCGGCCTCCCGATTCCCAGAGTACGTGGTGCTATTAATATTATATGAAACTAGCTAGGTTGCTACTACAAATTTTCAATTCTCATACAATCATTCATAAAATCGCAGGTTTTGAATTGATGAATGTACTGTTTTATAGCTGAGAACGGAGATACCCTTCGTTTCACGTGTAGTTGTAAATTGAGCCTTCGAGTTCGAAGTTTCGAACTTCGACGTACCCTCAGCAAATTTTGACAAACGCATGCAGAAGAGTTTGCCTTTTAACTGGTAGTTAGTGGAAACGCAAACAATCGATATTTGTCGCGTTCACTATATTCTAAACAGTCGTTGGTCATAATAAACATGTTTTTGAAAGAAAATTGAACTTGTCAAGCGTCTGTAAATGTATTTGTATAATTTCTTTTTATTCCTTGCTTTCTTGCTCTCAAACAACACATTTAACTCTCTTCTCTATTTCTTTGTTCCACTCTTCAACATCCGATACTATCCCAGTTAAGCCCTATGGCCTGTTAATTGTGATGCATTCTAATATCCATAGTCAATATAATCATTCATCACTTAGTCTGTTGTGCATTGAGTTGTAAACGCTCCCATAAGTCCCATTTGCTTATCCTTCACATGTTTCACAGGTACATCTTTCGCGCGCCAAAATTCATCATCCATTCACTGTTGTATCTCAATGTTGCTTTCATCGTTCTCTCTGTAAACGTGCTCCATCCCATATCTCTTCTCAAAGCCAACACTGCAATCCATTAGGGGGCTCCAATTGCCAGTTTGGATATTTTTAGCGCATTTTCTCATTTATGTAAAGAAAAGGCGCTATTGTGCGCGTCATGTCCGTCCGTCCGTGACTCTACGTTTTCGTCGACGAGAAAATGCGCGCTCAGTCACTCACGGCAGTGAGTACCAGTTATATTTTTTTGTTCAACCTCTAGTTTTTCCAGCTCACCATCATTACAAGCGATAACATTCCAGAAGAAGTAGCCACATTCCACAATGCGTTGGCCAAAATTGATTAAGCTGGTCATTTTAGACGAAAGGAACCAAAGTAACGGAAACGGATTTCCTGCGTCGTTCTCAGTCACACAGGACTGAGCGAGTTTATCTTCTCGCCATTCACCACGTAGCTTCTTTCTTATACAAGGTATGCAAAACGCTTTCTAGTTCATTTATGGAACAAATGCCCTATTGTGCTTGTCATGTCCGTCCGTCTGTCCGTGACTTCACGTTTTCGTCGACGGAAAAATGCACTCTCTGTCACTCACTGTGCAGTGAGTACCGAGTTATATATTTTTTTTGTTATCCGAATAATTATAAAATTCCTGAGCTCTACGATCATAAATTTATTACTACCTACGTTTGTATTATTACTTGGTACCGACAATGAACTTCTGAGCAAACCGTGAACATGCGAGGAACATTCAATTATTTTTATCAAAAGTGTAGCTACACAATTTTAATTGACCAATCGAGTGAGACGCGTAATTTCTTAAGGTCAAATGACATTAACGATGGCCATTTCTGAAAATATTACTATACCTAATCGGTGTACAAAAAAATGAAAATGTTAATAAAATATATATATATTGTGACACAATATTTATTAAGCGTTCTGCAGTACACAAAATTTTCAAAAACAACCGGTAAAAGTGAAATAAGGCACCATTAAAAAAATATAAATAAAGCGTTGCGACGAGCTCAGTTGATGAATTAAAACTACCGGGTTTGCAGGCTTCTTTCTAAAATACCAACAGTAGATCCATACATTGTCATAGTTCTTAAATGATCTCAAAACCTTGAAATTGCATAGAAATAAAAAAACATTATATCTGCATAGAAATAAAATTATTATTGTTTTTATATGAAAGCTCGAAATTTTCCACAATTATTATTAATGCAAAACCGAAAGGTGTCAAGTTCAAATGAAACCAATAAACCACTAACCTAGCACAACCATTTCAGTAACATATCCTTTACACTGAACTGAAACATTAGCTAACGACTCATATAAGCTAAAACTTCAACTTTTAACGGAACAAATTGTCTATTCTGTAGCGTGAAAACAAAGTTTGGTTGAAATTACGGTAAACCAAAATATACAAAATATTAATTCGAATTCGTTGCGCTTTACGTTAAATATGATGTATATTCCGTTGTGCGTTAAAATTCGTCATTCGATTTATCAACAGCTAAATCAATAAACGTTAAAAATTATTTGTTATAAAAATGGCTTTTAGAGCGCAGCTGCATTGAATTGTTATTTTAAATTGACCAATATTACGAGGTCTCAAAATATTGCGTTTTTTCTGAATTAAATACAATGGTTACAATTTACGTGAAAATTTTAGAAGGCAACCTTATTTTTAAAATAACGCACATGTTGTGTCGACCATCAGGGATCGAAGAGTGTACCAAATTCAACAACCGTAATATATAGTGAACATCGAAATCACTTTTAATGGTAGCAGTGAACGAAGAAAATGGTGCAAAGAATACCTATACGAGCCTCAATGGTGGTCAACTACTCCATGGTTGACATCAGACCAATTTAAATTGCAGTGGTTTACCTCAATAATCAAAGTGATAAAAGCAGGCACAATCTACCTAATATTATGGGAAAATGATAGATTCAAAAAAATTTTTGCAATAAACAAATTTCAAGTGACAATAAAAGCTACACGAGGATCTAAAAGAATCTCAGGGTTGAAATTCCTGGCCAGCATCAGGTGTAAATTTAATACCGCTTAAAAGCAATAAAAATCAAGAATAATCAATGAACGTATATCATTTATATCATCCGGGTAGTATGTTTATCATGGTTGCTGTGGAATGTCGAGTACAGGAATCGCTTTGGGATCACGTAAGGCAGAACGTTATAGGCCTACTAAGTTAAAAGTATTTGAGTGTTCACTTAAATGATAAAAATTAGAGGTGAATTAAATAGACTACATACATACATGCTACAGTTCGACAATCCTGTCGAGTAATTGTATTCATTCATTTTAATACAATTATGTAATAATGAATGAAACAATCAATACAGTACTAATGTGAAAAGAGCAACGGGATTACGTCGACAGTGGACGGAATTCGACCGTTTCATACAGCAGCTGCAACGTGTTACGAAGACTTCTAAACTTTCCCTCTGTGTTGATTTAACGTATATCTTATAGGTCAACATGATACACTATTACAAAATTTCCTGACTTTCCAACGATAGTGACCGTAGCAGTTCTTTTAGGGTTATAAAATCTCAACAACTAATCTGTTATCAAAACGAATATCCTGGTACCAGATTTTCGAACTTTCCACCACTATTATAACACTATTTTGCGGGTCTGCATCATCTTGGTTACACAATAAGAATATATTAATCTTGTGATACTTCAAATCGCTCTTGAAATCTGGCTTATTAGAAGCACCAAGAATGAGTTCAATAAGAAAAATTTATCAATTGTGATGTGGCCAGCATGAGTGAAATTAATTATTCTAACATTGAGTGATTTGAGTCCACCTTAATATTTCCTTATTCAAAATCCCTAAGATATTGAAAGTCGCCATCATAGATTCTTCACTAGGAAAACACTTGCATCTTAAAAATGGATATGAGGCATAAGAAAAGCAACTAAAACGCGAAAAATTTGACATTCTAAATATAAACATCCATAGGCACTTTAAATGAGTAACTAGCAGCAGTGTAGGCAAAAAACATAAAAATTTGTTAAACAGGCACATAATAAAACTTGAGACAAGCTAGAGTCGCGTCACTCTTTTTTCTTGGTCGCAGGATAAGCAACATCATCGCTGGATATCTCGCTAGCTGATGACCTCACGTCCGAAATGTGGTCGGATGAAAACTTTCTAGCTATAACCTGCAGGATGTTGTACGTCCAAATGAGATGCATAAAAAATATCGACAATATCAAGCCGTTGAACAAATAGTAGACGGGATAAAACTTGTCTTCTTGCACGTGAGCTTCAAATAACGTGCTGCGTATGAGACGTAGTGGGAAAATACCTAACCTTGTGACGATCCATAAGATGACAAATACGACAAACCACTTGTCCATGAGAGAAGGTCTCTTGCAATAGCCGCAGATTTTTGCAATCAGCAATGGAATATCAGCGCACTCGTGCAAAAAGAGAATTAGCGAGCCTATCCTCACGAAATTACAAACCCAAGACAAAGATGTTAGCAGAATTGTAACGATGTGATGACAAAGCATATGCGCAGAGTCGTGTCTGCGAGGTTGCATGAAGTGCGTTGCTGTCTGACACCAATAGAAGCCTAAGGCGACCATGTAATACCACCACAGTTCCGATTGTGGAAACTGCATCGGAAAACTGTACCAACAATGTCTGACATCATAGAGCCACGGTTTATCGTGTAGTACCACGATGCCAGTAATGCAAAAGCCTACGTAGTATACGAGCTGCCAGGCACAGTCGATGTACTTTTCCATGGTAGTTGCCTGTTGGGATACGGTTTTCTGGCGCAGCCAACGGTCTACTTGGCGATTGGTCCAGCCTAGCTTTTTGGCGTGCTCTTCGATGACAGGATGAGGAGCCCTAGACCTGAACTTCTTGTAGACTTGGTCTAGGATTGAGTTGTGAGGAGGATGTCTGTAAGGCTGAGAACGAATTTTAAGTCTCTTCCCTAAGGGTACGAAGACAAACGGAATCAAAATACAATATTTTAGAAACACGCAAAATCCAGCGAAAATAAAAGGATATACCCACAGATCTCCAGAGTTTGGAAAAGGTTTGTTGGTTTTCTGAGGGTCAAGGTCGTCCCATGAATAACCTGTAGGAAGCCAAAAGTTTTTATCCCAAAATGCGATGTAAAGATCCATGATGATTGAATGTGTAGTGTCGCCAGAAGCGACCAGCAATACCAAAACCCAGAAATATGTTCTTCAAGGTAATTAAAACAATGTTCTGAATATGTGTTCTTGAGAAAAACTCCAAAATAGTCGTGACGGCCTAATAAAATTTTAAGCTAAGCATTAAGTCACGAGAGGAAGTGACGAGAAATTGATTGGTATCTACAAATAAAATAATTGTACAACAGTATTTTACGAACACTTCTGTCAAATATCTTCTTCGACGATGTAGTAAGCAAGTTAGTTCACCATTAAGTTTTCATCTTCATTAGTCTTGATTTAAGCTTCTATTGAAGGTTTCCCGCTATGATCAATGGAGTCTGTCATGAAAGAATAAAATTTCCAGATGTGTGGAAGGCTAGATAGGAGAAGTCGTCATCCTTCGAAGCTGACAGACGCCGAAAAATTTGCCGCATTAAAAGCATCTGAGGACAAAAATAACGAAAGTCAAATGCATTGAATGGAATTGTGATTTTTGTGTACAAATAACAGAAATACAAGTAGTTTCTATTAATATTATGGCAGATAATTGGTAAAATTTCTATTTGGAATTACAAAGATTTTCATCATTATATGCCTCTTCATGACAATAAACAGAGAACGTTAGACGGAGAAATATCAAGACGTAAATTGAATGCATTGAATTTTTATAACTAAAATAATGGATACCATCCAGGGCTTACACTTACTCAAAATTTTCAGTGAAAATTCTTCATGGAAATACGGAATTCAAGTTCATATTAAATTCAGATCTTGTGAGTGATGACACGGTTGGAGTAAGTCTTCTGAAGCGAGTGTGGCAGCGCAACAATTGAAGTTGAATTGAAGTTTTGCAGGAGTTGATAAATGACGTGGTTTACAATCACACAAGATCCTGCGAAAAAACAATATTAAAGTTAGTGTTGCTTTATGAATAAAACCACGAGTGGAAATATGAATTGAACTACAACCGGAATGATAGAAACGTTATCATGAGTCGAATTTAGAGGCGATTAATATAGGTTTTTGAGAAGAATGAATAATTGAATCAAGATCGGCATTACGCAAAATATTGTGAGCAGAATATTATGAGAAAATATTTTTAGTTTTCAACATAATATTACAGTGAATTTCATTGCGATAAGAATAATTAGCAGAATAGTTAAAAATCTTTAAACCGCCTCCGCCCATTGTAGTGACAGGTTACTATTTATTTATCTGAGGTAGTAAACTATTAAACTAATTGCAATAATTCATTAAACTCATTTTATAACATTATATGTGTTATATTAATAATATTTAATAATAGTTATAATTAATAATAATAATAATAATAATATTAATGTAATATTAATATTAAATTATATATGTTGTAATCATATTATAACATTATAAGTCATAAATCATTTTATTGCACGAGTCATTAAACTAATTTCATTAAGAGTCACTGGAATATCAGCTACCTATACAATATCTGTAATATCAGTAAATATATGTAATATCAATTGAAGAGTTATAACAAATATTTCTAAATAAATGTAAGCAGTTATGCTTTCGAATTACAACACGATTCAACTTAAAGATAAACGCCATTCGTAGAATAATTCAACGATTAAATCGTGAAACGTCAATTCAAAAGAAGCTTTATTAGCAGACGGCACCGTTTAAGATATTAAGTTGAGAAGCCAGACAATTTAGGTTCAGAGGACCATAGAAAAATCTCCCTACATCTTAAATATTACAGACACATATTTTACGTTTCACATTATAGGATAAATTCCTGATACGCTGTCTTTAGAGACAAGCAATATATAATTTTGTAAGCTCCACGTATGGAACCGCCCGTACCATTTCTCAACTTACCATACAATCCAAAAATATAAGCTCCATAAGAAATGTTTCAGTACAAAATCCAAAAATGATTCGTAAAACTAATAAATAATATTGTTAGTACAAATGCACTAACTAAAAATAAATGAAAGACATACTAAAGTAAACACTTGAGAAGCATCTATGTAAGAGCGCTCAGCATTGTAACGAAGTGACTGCACAACGATTACGCTGGTGATTGATTGTGAGATAAACGCTCGTTATCTCTCCACTATCTCGTATGACTGTTCGAGAGCATCTCGTCTCGCTCATGGGAACGCATGGAGTTGGTCAGCATTATTTCATGCGCATGTTCATTTAAGCGCATGGTTTTAAAATACATAAAATTTTCAGAGTACTGTTTATGTGAAGGTACGTGCAACAAGGATAATTCCAGGCTTGAAAGGCAGGTCCTACAGTATGAGGAAAGATTAAAGATTATGAAGCTTCCAAGCCTCAGTTATCGACGTCTGCGTGGGGAACTCATTGAAGTATACAAATATACTCATGGCTTATACAAGGTCCCAGAAGGATTAGTAGAATTTAAAACAAGAACCAACACCAGGGGCCACGGCTGTAATCTAAAAAAACTGCGTTGTAACACATCCATGCGACAACATTTCTTCTCGCTTCGAGTCACCGACATGTGGAATAGCCTCCCCGATTACATCGTTGGCGCTCGAAGTATACATGAACGCTTTCAAGAACAGACTAGATAAAGCTATGGGAAAATATATGTTCAGATTTGAAATGCCTAGCACCATATCGAACCCGGTGGAAGTCTAGTAGCAATTTCAAACTATCGTCAGTCCTGAAAAGATCCTGTCAAATGACACGATTTTAGATCTTCTGTGAACAAGGCACGAAAAGTAAAAGTATCGGCGACAGGCCACATCAGGCCTACACTTCAGCGCCGACAGCACTATGTTATGTTATGTTAATTACCTGTACCTACACACACATATATAATTAAGAACGGTGTACCATGTTGCACTACATGCACCATATTTCACTACATGCCACGCCCCATATCAACCACATGCACAGCACACTAAGTAATCGATCAGCGGACGGTCGATGCAGCAGGTGAGGTCAGAAATAAATTGCTGGGCCACGCACTCACAAAACCTGATGGGTCAAATTGTCAAAAAAAAAACACTTGCTGCGTGTAACACTGATACGTCCTTCTCTTGGGCTGAACTGGGTGCTGATGACCGACATAAGGGCAATAATGCATCGCTATTTGTTCAAAGTCTCATTGATTTTTCTGGGTGAGGTCAGAAATAATATGCACGGCGACACGCCCCCCTCTCCTACGACACCCCCCCCCACATGCTGGACTATATTTAGGAGCATTTTTGTATGCTAAGTTAAACGTGTGGGTACGGAAGTTATGCTAATACGCTTGTCACTGTCACTACACATTGATTGATACGGTCGCTACTGACGCTACATATTGATTGACACTGTAGCTACAGATTGATTAACACGGTCGCTACTGACGCTACATATTGATGGACACTGTCACTGCTTATTGATTGACACTGTCGCTACATTTTGACACATATCTGTAGCTACATATTATGTAGCTATAATTTACATATATATGTAATCTACATTTAATGTAGCTGCATATTGATTGACACTGTCACTACATATTGATTGACACGGTCGCTACATATTGATTGACACTCTCGCTACATATTGATTGACACTGTCGCTACATAGTGATTGACACGGTCGCTACATATTGATTGACACTGTCGCTACATATTGATTGACACTCTCACTACATATTGATTGACACTGTCGCTACATATTGATTGACACTGTCGCTACATTTGATTGACACTGTCGCTACATATTGATTGACACTGTCGCTACATATTGATTGACACTGTCACTACATTTTGATTGACGCGGTCGCTACATATAGATTGAAACTGTCACTACATAGTGATTGACACTGTCGCTACATTTTGATTGACACGGTCGCTACATATTGACATGGTCGCTAGGTATTGATTGACACGATCGCTACATATATGATTGACGATTTTTCTTTCAGTACTTTTGTTAAAAAAACGGGAAATTTTTCAGAACGACGTGAGCACTAATATTGTAACAACTAATTGCTAAAAAAAGGATACGAAAAATAAAGGTACTATTCGGTAAGTGAAAATCTGTACAGCGTTCGCGCCACACCGATTTTAGGCTTCGTTTGATTGAGGTTAAAATGGATCATGAAATACGATAAATTGAATCCCCTGAATTATGCAGCGTTGAAGGTCCATATGCTATGAATGGATAATCTAAGAATAAGCATGTGGTAGAAATAAATCAGACATGTTATTTCAGTTTCATAGTTTAATGTCACGCACAGCTTCATAATTAGACATAATATTATTATGTTAATTATTAATCTTTAATGATTATTTATTATATTAACACGGGAGGGCTTTAGCGCGTACAATAAGGGAATTACTGAATTGACAATAACTGAATAACAATAACATTATATTAACTGAATTAATATAAACATCAAATTAACTGAATAAATAATAACTGCTCAATAAGGAAAAATTCACACATTGCACAGTCGATACGAACACAACCACACACTCGACACAGATGCCAACACAGTGACTACACACCATACACATACTTAACCAACATTAGCGTACATAACTTGTCTATGACATCGATTGTTGCTTAACGACTAACATAAAAAAAGTTAAAAATCAAATTATAATTCTTGACTGAGGCAAGATTAGTGATGTAATTCTTGACTGAGGTAAGATTAGTGATGTAATTCTTGACTGAGGTAAGATTAGTGATAGAATTCTTGACTGAGGCAAGATTAGTGATGTAATTCTTGACTGAGGCAAGATTAGTGATGTAATTCTTGACTGAAGCAAGATTAGTGATGTAATTCTTGACTGAGGTAAGATTATTGATGTAATTTTTGACTGAGGTAAGATTAGTGATGTAATTCTTTACTGAGGTAAGATTAGTGATGTAATTCTTTACTGAGGTAAGATTAGTGATGTAATTCTTGACTGAGGTAAGATTAGTGATGTAATTCGTGACTGAGGCAAGATTAGTGATGCAATTCGTGACTGAAGTAAAATTAGTGGTGATTAAAGTGCAATTTGAGTGATCAGATAAATCTTAAGAGGCCCAAATTAAGTTTTCGATCATTTAAAAAGATTTTAAAGTTTCAACCAAAATGATACCTTGGTTTCTAGGTTTGATGATGCCTTATAGATCCAGGATCGAAATGAAATTGTAATACGCAATAATAAAAATTAAAATCTAAATCATGAAAAAAGCTTTTCATGAATCATGAAAAAGCGTTTCATGAATCATGAAAAAGCTTTTCATGAATCATGAAAAAAGCTCATCATGAATCATGAAAAAAGCTCATCATGAATCATGAAAAAAGCTCATCATGAATCATAAAAAAAGCTTATTATTAATCATGAATAAAGTTTTTTATACAAACACAAGAGCTACTCATGCGTGCATATGCGAACGTCTGCCCTCGTGAGGGCTTTAACGCGTACAATGAGGGAATTACTGAAGCATTCAGCCACATAGACCCAAGGGTCTTATTCAATAATTAGACCCAGACCAGCGCCTGGCTGAGAACCTCTCCCTATACATCAGTCAGCCACATAGACCCAAATGTCTTCAATTAGACCCAGACCAGCGTCTGGCTGAGAACTTCTCCATAGACATCAGTCAGCCACATAGACCCAAATGTCTTCAATTAGACCCAGACCAGCGCCTGGCTAAGAACCTCTCCCTAGTTATCAGTCAGCCACATAGACCCAAATGTCTTCAATTAGACCCAGACCAGCGCCTGGCTAAGAACCTCTCCCTAGACATCAGTCAGCCACATAGACCCAAATGTCTTCAATTAGACCTAGACCAGCGCCTGGCTGAGAACCTCTCCTTATACATCAGTCAGCCACGTAGACCCAAGGGTCTTCAATTGGACCCAGACCAACGCCTGGCTGAGAA